CGTTTCGTCCGCTGCTGTCGCGAGTCTGCAGATGCGCACAAACCACTATTTGAACTACAATTGATCGGACTCCTCGCCTTACCGTTGAGCCATTCCTTTCCTTGGGGAACTGAGTTAACTGAATACAATTGTCAGAGTGTGTGACACTGTGTGGTGTGACTGTTTCTCAATGTTTCTCACATCCGTCGACAACCCGGGACCATATAGCCGCTGGCTAGCCGCTAGCCTTCGAGTGCTTTACAAGTGCAATTCTTCAATCACCTGTATTTTGATACGGCTGGTGTTGCACCAAAACGGGTGACCTGGTGGCCCCTCAAATGCTACCTTGGTCCCAAAATAGGTATACGGTATACAGGTATACATACACCTTGATGACAATCCAGTTGACCATGTTGAACCATGCGTGCGCTCCAAACGCGCGGGTCGAGATGGATGGAACCGCAAAAAAGGGGATATGATTTCCCAGCAGACCATGGTTCTGTGAGTTTCGCTGCCATCTGAAAGCAGCGATATCGCACTACTAATAGACATTGATAGACGTGATGTGGGCTTTCCATGGTTCTTCTCCAAAAGGAGCCGCTCACACTTCCTCTCTTCAAACAAAAGCAGCACCCGTCATCTGCCGTCTGCGGTGGGTCTGGTGGGCATCTGGAGCATCGCTCGGCGGGGTCTCGGACGAGACATTGTCTCAAAAGGTGCGAAAGGGTGCAAAGCCTTCAGACTTGTTGGTGGATTCACCCAAAGAGGTGTTGGAACCATACGGCTGTAGATCTGTTGGAGGAGACTGTCATCTCTTTCGATGACTCCTTTCCTTGCTCTCCCAAAGGGGTCCTTCAAGCTCGGCAGCTTCTCGTGCTGCTCCTTCTCAGTCCAGGTGCCTTGCAACGACATGTTGACGAAGAGGAAAACTAGCAACTTCAAAGTTCAAAGGAGTCGTTTCTATTGGATTTTGTTCAAGTGATCATATCTCTTGGAATCTCTTGGACATAGGAGGTGTTGATCATTCAACCCTCAAGTTCGGAACTGCCGCATACGGCAGGGTGCTGATCTTGTCAGGATTGCTCCACCCGAAGCTGCGCATCCAACTCACCAAGTCAAGTGCTAGGATGTGCTAGGGGTTCTTTGGTACAAATGCTCCGCCACAATCACCGTGTTGTTAAGAAGTCTCATCACACACGCTGCGTGGATGAAAACACCCTGAAGGCCCCTGTAGTGAAGGAACCAAACCTAGTGGTGCCAGCGCCTATATATCCGGAAATTCGTTTTTGACACCTCACAGTTGTTTCTAAGATTCTAAACTGTTCTAAACATGCTCTTTTCTTGGGCTGGAGACCCTTTTTGTTTTGATCATAGCTTCGTTCATGGCACCGGCCTGAAAGGACAAACATACTCATGTAGGGAAAGGGTCGACGTAGGTGGACCCCTCAACAAGGAACCAAGTGACCTCGCCAAACACTGTCAACCTATCTGTTCGTGGGGCAAACCTCGGGATCTCAATTGATCAGCCAACATGTCACGTAGGTGACACAGCCCAGTCACCAGACCGAAGAGCTGCAAACAGCTCCAGCTGCATCTCGTGGGTGACTTTGGCTGCCCGCAGCTGCTCGCCCGCCTCCCTAAGAGCAAGAAAGCGAGGACCAGGGATCGTGAGGGACCCATCATAGCCATTTTGAACCACACAAAAAATGTATAATAATAATAGTAATAATAAAAATAATAATATTAATAATAATAATA